GACTGAGCGCTCTTACACCCGCCACTGGAGGGGAACAGGAATCACTCCAGAGCAGCGCTGTGGGAACAGGATGGCATTCTTCAAAGGCTATGGCAATCAGGGTGGTGCCACTGCGCGGGCTTTGCTGGAGCCAAGGCATTTTACAGACTGTGCCTGCCCAGCGTCTCATGACAGTGAGGTGGGGTGAGGAGGAGGACACCTCCACAGTGCCTGTTTGACCCCGGGAAGAGGTGTGGTAACTAGTGTCAAGTAAAGGTTCACTCACAGTCCAAGCGGGCTTGCAATTTGGGGCAGTTCATTTTATTTTAAGTCTAGAGATTTCCCAGTTCCATGCTATGGAGTGGTACTGAATGCGCCACTTAAGAAACCATGTTTAGGGGTCATCAGGTGGTGGGGTGGTTAAGGGCGCTGGACTCCCACATGGCTGACTGTGGTTCAAGTCCCAGACCTGGTGACTTGCTTTTTCACTTTCTCTCTCACTCTGTCCCTCTCTGGTCAAATTAAACTAAACTAAATATATAAAGTTCAATAAAATAATTCTTTCAAAAAAAAAAAAAAAAAGAAAAGAAAAGAAAACCACATTGAGGGATCAGTAGGTGGCGTAATGGTTACATTGCAGGACTCTCACACGGCTGACCACAGTTCAAATCCCAGATTGGGTGGCTTCAAACTCATGCCGGATGTGTGTGCACACCCAAGATCCCAAATGGAGAAGGGACTGCAGCATGGCCTTCCCCCTGGGGGCTGATTTCTTGCTTTCTGTCTCTCTCTGGCAAGCGCATGTACCCTGGAGCAAAAATCTCTCTTAAAACAAAACCAAACCAAAAAAAACACACCGCATACAGAGGCCTGCACCCGCTCACGGCCAACCCTTGTCCTACAGCACAGAACTGCCCCTTCCTGTGCGTCCGATTCTAACACCAAGCGCATAGACACCCAGCGCGAGCGAGCGCCAGGCAGTCGGATATCACGTGGCTAAAACCGCTCACGACTTCACGTTTTTCAGCAAGTGTTCATGCTCCTGCTCTTGAGTGTCATGCAAGGTGTGGAGGACGTTTTCCCGTGACAGAGAACATTATGACATCCTGTGGGACTGGGGTGAGGACACAGAACACGGGCATAAGACCAGCAGCTGGCATGGATGTTAAGGTGCTCGATCCTGCATGGCTGACTACGGCTCAAGTCTCAGACCTGAAGGCTTGAGAAACATGCTGTGGGTGTGTAGGCCCAAATTCCTGAGAGGACACGGAGGAACGGGATTTCTGGTGTGGTTGCCCCCTCAAGAGGTGTTTTCTCATTTTCTCTGTCTCTCTCCAGTGAGTGCACGCACTCAATAGCCAAAAAAAAAAAAGGGGAAACGAAAAGCAGCAGTTGGACACAGAGAACACGGCTAAGCAAGCACACACCCTGGCTGAATTCTGGAAGCCCTTCCCTGATCACATTAACACTAGAGGGGAGTCCGCGGTCACAGAGACATCATCCACTAAGGGGCAGCACGAGGGCAAGTCACCCCACACTGTGTCCCACACCCCTCTCTAATCACTTAAGTCCAAAGAGCCGGGTAGGGCACAACCACCTCTTCTCTCCTCAGGGAAAAGGACAGTGTGTGTGTCCAGGGCATTCTCACTGCCTGCTGTCCTTCTGGCTAACGCCGCCTGTCTCACATCCATTTCGACACCTCTCCTCCCAGGATGGGCCCCTGTACACACTCTGCAGGCCAGACGGGGCAGAACCGCTGTGAGAGGCGCAGGCATGGGACCCAACGGGGGCTCTGAATCCTGGCTCTGCTGCCAACAACTTGCGGGACTCTGGGCAAACTACTAGTCCACCCTCTGCCTCAGCACCCTGAAAAGTGGGGGCAGTAACGGACTTGCTCACAGCACGGCTCTGACGGTGAAACGAAGGGACACGCAGTGCTCAGAACAGGCCCGATGTACGGGGACTGCCGAGTTCTCTCTCACCGTGGAATGGGAGACAGGTAAGAAATAAAACACACTGAGTAAGTAGACACACGTTACCATTTAAGAAATTGCGCTGGTTTTCTAAAATTTGGTTGATTTCATGGATCCATGTTTGCCGGACACTTGGGCTGGAGGAATGCAGGATGAAGGTCTCCACCACATCCCCGGTCCTCGACGTCAGAGCAAATTTACAGGGATCATTTTCCACGTTTTCCTCCAGGCAAAGGCAACTCACCTTAAAAAAAAAAAAAAAAAAAAAAGGCATTATTCATCACAGCTGAGAGATGAGAGGAACCCAGGAGTTCACAGACAGAGGAATGGACAGAGAAACTGTGCACAATGGAGGAGTCTTCAGATTTAATGAGGAGGGATTCTGACCAAGTGCTACGACGTGGATGAACCTTGGACACACTGCTCAAGAGAAATAAGCCAGTCACAAAGACAGACACAGAAGATGAATATGATTCCGCTTCCATGAGGCCCCTAGAGCAGTCACATTCACAAGTAGAAAATAAACGGGAGTTTGCCAGGGCTGTGGGGAGTTGGCGCCCAGTGGGTACAGAGTCTTGGTTTTACAATGTGGAAAGAGTTCAGGAGGATGATGGGTGAACGACAATGTGGATGAATTTAATATCATGGAGGTATATGTGCATGCATGGGTAAGATGACAGATTTTATGTATTTTTTTACCCTAATAAAAAAATTAAAGCACACTTATACCCACAGGCAAAGTGCAATTCATCCTATGTAGAAACAATTATTTTTGGGCATTTTTATTGCCTTGGCTTATCAATGCCTCTTTTAGCTCAGGTACACGAGGTTATGAGGAGTGTAATAGCCCGGACTACCCGCTTGAATGATTAACTAGAAATGTGGGTCTGGGATCACTTGTGTCCAAAAGCCCTCTATGTTGACCCAGGCTTATCCCTCGTTTACTTTCCAATGACTAGAACGACTCCATTTAAAAGCTCTCAGACAGGGGCCAGCAGGTGGCGTGGTAGAGGCACTGGACTCCCGTATGGCCAATCACAGTTTGAGTCACGATCTGGTGGCTTACTTTCTCACTTTTCCTGTCTCTGTCTCTGGTCAAATTAAAAAAAAAAAATAATAAAAGACAACCACACACACACACACACACACAAAAAGCCAAAAACCAAAAGTCCTCAAATAGTGATAAAACTATGTTCCAAAGTTATATGTGATATCTTGACTATAATATGTGAACTACTTTGACAAAAGCAGCAGAATATGTAAAATGATACATAGCAAATTCCTGTGGTGCAGGATGGATTTTGGTCTATACTTGTGAACAGAGTGGTGGGTGGGTGGGCAGTAATGGGCAGTGATGAATGGAGCCGAGAACCTCAGAGGAGGGGACCTGAACCCTGAATGGCCAAGGCTGGAGGGTGGTGAGAGAGATGGGCCGCAGCCCAGCTCCACATAGCTGCAGCCTCCTCCCTGGGCTGCCTGGCTCTGAGGCCTCCCAGGTATGGGTGAGCAGCCCACAGAAGCCTGCCAGGTATGAAGGCAGCCCACAGAAGCCTGAGTGGGGAGGGGAGCTGGATGGAGGCAGATGCAATGTCCTCCCTGTGTGCTGTGAGGTCTGCAGGGCTCAGAGGGTCTAAGACGGAGACCCTGGATGCTGAGGGCAGAGGTCCTAACACAGGGAAACCTAGCTTCCTCCTGCATAGCTGCAGATGTGGGGAAGCGTGGGGGGATGGGGGTAGGCACGTATCTGCCCAGGGGTCATCTCCTGTTCTCTATCTTGCTCTTGCTCTGTCCCTTTGATAGAGTTTGGGGCCACTTGCAATTACGATCTGTGCCTGTTTATCTTCTTTGCCCATGAGCTACACTAAGGCAGGGAGGATGCCTGCCTCGTCCACCCCTGGAGTTGCCATGCCCAGCACTGAGTGCCCCCTGCTGAGTGAAGACCAAGAACCAGACTCTGAGTCAGTGCCTTTCTCTGGTCATAATGCAACATTCCACATTTCCCAAGGTTTTCCATGGTACCGGTGAAGGCAGTGCACACACACCACCCAAGATGAGGTCTCTGCACCACGAGGGTAACAGCTGCCATCGCGGCGAGGTGTGTCCGAGCACAGGCTGGAGAATGCCAAGGTTCGGAGGGGCACTGGAAGGTCTCTGTGCACTCTAAAGGCCACGCGTCAGCACAGGTCATCATTAAAGAGTAAACCGTTCAGAATGGCGACGGGTCCGTGAGAAAACACACGAGCCCGCGTTACCTTGATGCTGTTCTTAAACAGGAATCCTGGCGTGGAGAAGCCCTTTTTTTTATCAAGTGGTTCGCTGAATATGACGATCTGCTCAAAGAGGAAAACCCGTCTCTCTTTGCAGCGAGGCAGAAGTCCCCCATCCTGCTCGGTGACCAAGAATGTGTCCTGCAAGAGCAGTTTCCCCTGGGCGACAATTTTTCCCT